ATGTGCCTCAAGGGCACAGATTGTCGGAGCTAATGGTGGCCATCGCAACGGGGGGAACTTGGCCAAGGCAACGTCGTCACAATTGGGCCCCAACCAAAGTGGATAATCTTTGCCCTCGGTGCAAAAGGTCGCCGGAAACAATGTTTCACATATGCTGTAGTTGCGATGAAAACGAACATTCAAAAGCGTATACAGTAACGGACGAGTTATTGCCAGAAGCGTACAGCCAACGCGAAGCCACGCAATGTTTCTGGTTGAGAGGTCTGATACCTAAATCGTGGACAGCTGCACCGCCGCCGCCGCTTGATTTTAACTGGAAATACGGAGGACGACTCAACTCAAGCAACAAAAAAACGCTCGGAGTAGGATCGCAATCCAGGCCAGTCTGTGTAGCAGGTGATGCTAGTGGGGGAAAGGGCACCATGGGCCCCCGCCTTCGTAGGGTAGGAGTTGCCATATTTAAATTAGACCTCCCTGGGGGCCAAGTTGAGCCCTCCAATGAGGCCTTGGACATCTTGGGCACAATTCACGGGGCCCTTCCAGGGCCGCGCCAGACGGTAGCGAGAGGGGAGCTTGCAGGACTCCTCTTAGCGTGTCAGGCCTCGGCTGGGCATCTCATTTATATGTGTGATAATATTGGCGTAGTTTCGGGCTTTTATAATAAGAAGTATTTAAACCCAGAGGGTGAAGATTCCGATCTTTGGGAGAAGCTTGGTCAGGAGTTTCTCCGTGGTCGTGACCCTTCTTGTGTAACAGTGCTGTTCGTGAATTCCCACCTAGACGGCAAGGCTGTCTTTCAGGGGCTGTTTCCAGGGTGGTTGATTTTAGCCAATGCTGCAGCAGATGCAGCAGCTGAGGTCGCGTCAGACGAATGCCGTGTCCCTGCAAAAGATAGGCGCAGTGTCAATTGAATTGAGAAAAAGGCGTTTCTTGTTCGACACAAATTGCTGCGGGCCACCCTTGATGCCACGGGTGTCGAGAAAGAGATTGCTGCCAGTGAGCGAAGGAGAAATATGGTTGGTCCTGACGCCAGCGTCCTCTCCCCTCCCCCACCCCCTGGCCAAAAGTCAGCTTCTGCTTTCTGTGCAGAGCATGCCCTCACAGACCGTGGCAACGGATGCCAGAGGTGTGGCAGCACCGCGACTCAGGCCGAGCTCCTTGAATGGAGAAAGAGCCCATGTTTCGAATTAAATAACCTAGGAGGCGCGTTTCGGTCTCTCCCTGAGGAGGCTCGGTTACACCTGGCGGGGGGTTGGGTCCATCAAACGCACCAAATGCAGTGCCACTCGGGATTACAGACTTGGTTTTGCATAAGTTGAGGTTTCTTCGGCCAAGCCCAGCTCGTTAGCTTAGGAAAGGAATGCCCGAATGTAATACCTAAGCACCGACAGGAATACCTAAGCCGTATTTCCCGCCGTCTTCCTCCGAAGGTTTTAAGCAGGGCTGAGAAGGGGAAGAGGGGCAGGCTTTAGGGGGGGGTGAGCGGTCGTCCGTCGTGAGCGAGCGAGCGGCGACGGCGCGTGCGCGCGGCGCGCGCGCCGCCCCTCCGTTCACCAACTTCAAGGACGGCGGCCGCCCCCGCGCGCGCGCCGCGGAGCGCGCGCGTCGCCCCCCCCGCCCTCCTCCTTCTGCCCCTGCCTGCTGCTGACAAGACTTAGTCTTTGCCTCACTCACTCACTCCTCCTCCTCCTCCTCCTCCTCCTCCTCCTCCTCCTCCTCCTCCTCCTACTCCAACCTCTCGGGAATCTGATCGTCATGCCCTCAGCACCCAGAACGGCCCGAATGGGCCCCCGCTGGTCCCCATCTTCTGGAGTGGCATTCGGAAGCTGACGAAAAGCAAGGGTGCATCTTGGACGAAGCATCACCAGAGGTGTCTCCGAGGTCTGGTTTCAGGTGTCCGCTGGCCTCAGGCGAGGCTGTGCAAGCATGGGCTGCATACAGACCACCTTTGTCAGCTCTGTCGAGGAGCACCTGGCACGCTGTGGCACCGTCAGTACGAGTGTCCTGCTCGCGAGCCTCTCCGCAGAGATCACGTAGGACACAGGCTGAAACAATGTGCATCACGAGTAAAAGACCTGCCCATCCTCAGTGAGAGGTTTGCTCGAGGGATATTTCCAGACCCTCAGGCCCTGTTCGAGCTCCCAGAGGCTTACGAGAGCATTCGGTTGCACAACCGTCCCTCGTCAGGTGTGCTTTCAGGACTCATGTTCCTCGACGGGTCCGCCAAGTGGGCCAACCTGGAGGGCATGTCTAGAGCGGGGTGGGCTATATGCAGTGTAGATCGGTTTGGGAATCTGATATCGGCTGTATATGGTCTTGTACCTGTGAGTGCCGCCCCCCAGCAGACCAGTAAGGATGGGGAGGACTATGCTGTAGATATGCTGACGCAATTTGGTCTTCCCCCGTTTCAGTTGTATATAGACTGTCAGTCAACTCTGGATTCCTTGGCCAACGGTCCTGTGTGCCCCGTGGGTCCTGGGGCGCCGAGGGGTTACCTCTGGGGCACGTTCTGGTCCGCGTTTGGCCAAGGGAACTTCGAGGCTTTTAAGACGAAGGCCCATGCGACGGCCTCCGACGTCGAGTCTGGGGTCACCACGGCGTGGGAGCAGCGTGCGAATCAGCATGCTGACACCTTCGCCAAGGCTGGCGTCGATCTGCATGGGCGGACAGATGACGATATGTATTTGTGGCGTGGCTTTCGGAGCCTGGCCATGGAGGCTGGGAGGTGGGCGGCCCAACTTGAGGTGGCCATCTCGTCTCTGCCAGGGAGGGGCACGACTGGCTTGGAGGCCACTCCGCCCCCAGCGCCTGTTGCCGCCGCTGCTGAAGCCGACCTCTCCAGCCAGACCATGGCCGAGGACGGGCGGCCCTCGGTGGAGGGGGAGGACCTGGGGGATTGGGAATCGTTTGCTCTCCTGGTGTTCCGTGTCAACGGCCATGCCCTGCTTGGGGCTAAAGTTTTGGATGCAGTTGGGAACACCAAGGGGAGGCTTCAGTTCTGTGAAAAGTGTGGTAGCTTTTGCTCGGGGGGGAACCCCTCGAAAGGATTGCAAGGCCCCTCTAGACCCAAGACGGGTGCCACGGGAGGGCTCAGCGATCAGTTGAGGAGAATTCGGCAGTCGAAGTTCCCCTCGTATAAGCAAGACCTGAAGGGGCTGCTCCTTGGGCCCCATGTGGGCCTCTCCCTCGTCGAGCGGCGGGCTCTGGCTGTTGCGCTGAAGTCGGGAGGTCCTGGGGCCCAGCGGGACAGCCATTCTGGTAAATTCGACTCCCAGGGCGGGTACGCCTGCAGGGAACAGGTGTTGGATTCGTTCGGGCTCGTGGAAGCCGACCTCGCTTGGGTCAGAGACCGCGGCGAGGCTTTTACACGTCCCAAGGCCCTCCGCGAGGAGGAGACCGATTCGGACGCTTCCGGTTTTGTCTGATCTTGGATATGTGGCTTCAGGCCCGTCCCCAACATTCTCCTCCTCCAACCGGCCTCCCTGTGCCGCGCACGCCAGGTAACACTCGACAGGAAGTGCGGCGCATACCGGGGGCTGTAAGTCAGGAGCAGGAGTGTCCTTATCAATCTGCTCTTCGACGTGTCGAGTCCCGCCAGAGGGTGCCAGCCTTCCTGAGCTACCAGCACCAGTGCGCTGGACAGAGGTATGCGCTGCTCAGCGGGACGCGCATTTCTCGAAATAGAGTACCAGCCTACCGTCTCCGCCTGTACCAGACAGCACTACGCTGGGCACGATGAACCACGCTGCACGACCTTCGAGGACGTCCAAGAGGCCCCTCCGCAGTCATGGGCAGCTGGTAGGCCACGAGATACCCCAGAGAGCCAAGGACTGTGATGTCAGCAGGTGCCCACTCGTCCCCCCAGCGTCTGCCCCTGGAGTGGGTTCTTACTCGTGTACCAGGGGTTTGCGCAGCAGGAGTCCCTGGGGGGGACGAAGTGGCACGAAGCCAGAAGAACTAAAGCTGCACGAGAGAGGGCGCTCAGCTGGTGGTCGAGGAGGAGGCCATCAGGGCGAGCTCACCAACGTGCCCCAGCAAACCGAGCTCACCAGAGCAGCATGCCAAGGCTCGGCACCCCCGCGGAGGCCACCTCGAGAATGGGGATCTCGAAGGACGAGGAGTCGGTCTCCAACGAATAGCGCCCAGTTGCCACCGACACGGCCGATGCCGAAAGGATAGGAGTGGCCGCCACCATCAGCACATGAGGGGTTGCGGGAGGCACGCCCGAGCGGGCCCGTAGTGGGAGCGGGCCAAGGTCCGCGGCTCCCTTGGTGGCGGCCAGTCGAGTGAGGCGGAGCTCGGAGCCAAGAGAGCCGATCAGCTTCGCGCCAGGAGGGCGAGGTTACTGCCGCAGAGGACGGAGACTCAGCCACGATGGACTCACCAAGCAGTCTGGAAGAGGTCCTGAGCCAGACGGTCCCAGGCGACGTGGCGCTGACGAGATGGACGGCGGAGGAGCACAAGGTCCTCTTGCATGCCGCCGCCGTCTCGACCAGCCTGGAGGAGGAGAGCCCAGCTTTGCTGACCTCGTCTTCTGGGCAGCGGGCGTTCGCAGGCCGCCGAGGTCCCCGCAAGGCACCCCAGCCGCCGCGCCAGCTGGTGCCACGGCCAGTCGGCGGCGCCTCTGAGGCACGTGTCGCGGCCGCCAGCGGGCGCCCGCTGGCTCGCCGGCCCGCCGCGCGTCGCTCGCCCAGGCGGGGCCGCAGGGTCGTGTCTCGAGGGACACGCGCCGTCCGCCCTCGAGCCATCCTCCTCCTCCTCCTCCTCCTCCTCCTCCTCTTCCTCCTCCTCCTCCTCCTCCTCCTCCTCCTCCCTCCTCCTCCTCCTCCTCCTCCTCCTCCTCTTCCTCCTCGTACTCCTCGTCCTCTTCCTCCTCCTCCTCCTCCCCCTCTTCCTCCTCCTCCCTCCTCCTCCTCCTCCTCCTCCTCCTCCTCCTCCTCCTCCTCCTCCCCCTGTGCGCGCCGCCAACTCTGTCTCCCCCCCCGGTGCGCGCCGCCGAGACGGCGTCTGCCGTCGCGGCGCTCTCCGCCCTCGCGGAGCGGGCGGCCACGAGGCGGGGCGGGGACCGCCGGCCAGGGGCGGCGCTGGTCGGCGAGGGGTGGCCCCGGCCCGACGGTGTGCGGGTCGACGCGTGGGGAGTCACGTTGCTCGCGTGCGCGCTGGAGGCACTTGGGCCTCCCAGGTGAGCGACTCTAAAGAAACGGGGCCGACGGGGTCGTCTCCGCCAACATTGGCGCGCAAGCTGCACGCGTAAGGTCGCGCGTGGGCGCCTTCGTCTCGAGTGCATTGTGCCGCGCTTGCGGCGCGCGGAAGCCGCCGCGTGGGGTCGCCGCGTCACCTCGAGTACCCGTTTTTGAGTGTCGCTCAGGTGGGGTCGGGGCAGATGTGGGGGAACGAACAATGACGGAAACATAAGAGGTCGGCTGTCCGCGCGGATTCCTCGGATCGGCGCACGACCCCCCTCCCTGGCGCGCGGAGCGCGCCAGGAGCGGCGCCGGAGGCGCCGCCCGGGGGCCCCAGCGCCGATCCAAGAAATCCGCGCGGACCTTTCGAGTTTTATGTTTGCGCAATTCTGCGCTCCCCTAAGATGGGGGGTCGGAGGAGCGCGCCGCATCGCCGATGCATCGCCGAGGCAGCTCGATGAGGAGCCCGATCATCTCTTCTCCACGCCGGCGTCGCCGCAGCATCGCCGACGTCGCCCATGCACCGGCGGCGCATCGGCGATGCGGCGAGATCCTTCGACCCCAGCTGCTCGGACCGCATCCGGGAGGCCCCCAGGCAGCAGGGGGCCAAGACTCGGCGACGCGGAGGAGGGAGCCTTCGCTGGAGTGACCCTCCGGTGCTGGCGGTCCCCCATGGGGTCCCCCGACCGCTGAGCGCGATGCGCGCGATCGTGTTTGGCTCCCCCGCGGCCTTCAAAAAGCCGCGCACCAGAGGTCACTCTTGCCTAGGCTCCATCTTGTGTGCAGCCGAGAGACTCGAAGAAGAACAGCGGCAGACACAAAACAGAAGTCAGAGCTCCGCGCGGATTTCGCGGATCTGCGCTGGAGCCCCCCGGCGGCGCCTCCGCCCTTGGCGCGCTCCGCGCGCCAGGGAGGAGGGCTCAACGCAGATCCAAGACATCCGCGCGGACCTCTGAACGTTCATGTTTATGTCGTGTTCCTTCCTGCAAAGACGAAGGGCTGCATCGGCTGCTCTCTGCCATGGCTCTGATCGGCACACCGCTTCTCTCTTCGCGAGGCTACATCGGCCCCCAGCGCTTCGTCAAGCCACTCGATCGCGTCCATCGGCGACTGGGCATGCGACGAAAAACGCTGCGGAAGAAAGACGGCGAGGGATCCTGCCGCATTGCAGGCGACGTGAAGGCCATGGGCCTGCAGCAGCAGCAGCGGCAGCAGGAGAAGCACACTTGCCTTGACTCTCTTCCAGGACCTCCTGCCCGAGAGATGCCGCGAGGATGCCCACAGGCGGCGCTGGCTGGCCGACGATCCAGTGAGCAGGGCGGGCGCCACTCGCGACAGCATGCTGCGAAACAGGCAGGGCGGCAGAGCCGGCTCGCGACCCGTCTTGCACAGGGCGCCAGGCCGGGAGCGGCGATGGCCGACCGTGCTGCCTTGCTCTCCAGCCGCCTGTGGGCTGAGGTGGTGGCACCGGCCATGATGGGCCAAGAGGGCGCGGCGCTGACGCCCTCGAGCTCAGAGAAGAAGGCTCTGCGCCAGTTCTTTGTCAAGGCTGTGAAAGAGGACGTCTCTGAGACCCACGTCACCAGTGAGGTTGCGCGGCCATACGCGTTGGACAAGTGGGCGGCTCGCTGTGACAAGCAGTGTTGCGCCTTGCTGAGCTTGGCGGATAGTGCTCGTTGGCCCCACGCTGAGCTTGGGGACACGCTGCGTGTGGCATCTGTTGGCGGTGGCCCTGGCAACGACGCGTATGGCACGTTTGTTTTTGCCACACTTTTGCGGCGCTGGTGCAAAGTCGAGGCCGCGGTCTTCGACTTCAGTTCCGCTTGGCAGCCTTTGTGCGACGCCATTGCCGAACCGAGCGTTCTTGCTGACTGCGCTCTGCTCCTTGCTGGGGAGATCAACGATCGTGCGGGAGATCAGGAAAGCCGCGTTCCATGTGAGTACACCCTCGGCTTCCATTTGGCTGATCTGCGGGCGCCAGCCAGCGCAGCTGTGAACGAGAAGTTGCTTGAAGCAGCACCTGATATGGATCTCTTCTTGTTTTCCTTCGTAGTGAGGGAGTCGCAGGCATGCAGGTATGATTTGTTGCCGACCTTGTTTCGACGCAGCCGGAAGGGTGCTGCGTTCGTATTCTTGGACATGCATGTTACCGATTTGGTACCAGTGCAGGAACTCGTTGAAAGATTGCAATGTCAGGAAACACAGAACTTCGTTTTCACTGGTGACGATGTCCAGTACAAGTGCTCATTCGAGAGTGTCCGCTTGGGATGCTCTGAGCAGTACCCATTCTTTGGCTTAGCTTTTCTGAAAGTCAGTTAGATTAGGTAGATCTGCGCATGCGTGCCACTTGAAAGTTGGCGCTCTTGTATTCCCGTCTTGCAATTCCTCGCCAGACAATACACAGAGCGTGAATTACCTACCCCGCTTTCGCTTCCAGGCAAAACCAAGCCATACCACCCGCCTCCTCGTCAAGCGGCCTGACCAGTACAGGCCGCAATTTGGCATCGTTTGGTATCTCTTGGAAGCGAGGGTGGTCAAAAGCGAGGTAGGTTTGTTTTCCCTCTAAATACACTCGACAAGTACCCAGGAACGCACCCTAAAAAAGGGAACGCTAGAGTGAGTGATGAAATGCTTTGGCGAGAAGGAGGGTGCCCAGGAAGAGGAGGCGGCAAGGTCGGACCAGACCAGGTCGATCTCTCTCTCTCTCTCTATCCCTCCTCCTCCTCCTCCTCCTCCTCCTCCTCCTCCTCCTCCTCCTCCTCCTCCTCCTCCTCCTCCTCCCCCTCCCTACTCCTACTCGCTCCCAATGACCCCTCCCTCCCCCCTCCTCCTCCACCCCTCCTTTGCTGCCTCACCCTCACAATCACTCAAAGGCACCCTGATGAGCCGAATCGTTCCCAGCACCCAGGAGACGCACAGGAGCCGTTCGCTCGTAAGCCTCGGGGTCCAGGAAGCACAGCGAGCAATGTCGTCCGTGAGCCTCGGGCGCCACGGGACATCCAGGGCTCGTGTGGGCATTTTTTTTTTTTTTTGTTGTTTCCTGTTTTTGTGTGTGTGTGTTGCATGGTTTTGCGAACTGGATATCCGCGTTTCCGATCGAGCGACGTTATTTGGTCATGTTGGAGCCGTCTTGGTAGAAATCGCGAAATTGAAAACAACAGAGTTCTCCCAAGAGGTTGCAGGAATTGGGCCTCCTGGGTGCCTCCCCTGGAGGCTCCGTGGCCACTTGCGGCCACGATCTTGAGCCAACCTGGAGTGATCAGATCGCGCCATCTCGGAGGCAGCCTTGAAAGCCGCACTGCAGTGTCTGGAAGACTGATGGGTCGTGGTTACAGTGGGGGCCCATGCCCAGAAGCACCCTGCTTGCCTCCAGGGTGTCCTGGCTTTCTTCGGTTTCGATGGTTTGGCGATGGAGAGCGCGATACTCCCACGCCAGAGATCGATGGACGTCCTAGGGTTCCAGGGTTGGGTTTCTTGTGGAAGGTTTCTTGTGGTCGGGCCCCTACAGTGGGGACCCATGCCAAGAAACACCCTGCTCGCCTCCAGGGTACCCTGGGTTTCTTGGGTTTCGATGGTTCTGCTATGGAAAGCGTGACGTTCCCACACCCAAACTCAATGGAGGTCCTGGGGTCTCAGGGTCGGGTTTCTTGTGGAAGATTTCTTGTGGTCGGGCCCCTACTGCAGGGCGTCTGCCCCCCCCGTGCCAAGGCGTGAGGGGCGGGAGACGGGAGGAGGAACGAGGAGCGCAGGAGGAGGGAAGGGGTTGAAGGAGAGGGCGGGAAGTCAGGATGGGGGGGAGGAGGCAGGAGGAAGAGAGGAGGAGGGAGGAGGACGAGAGGACGGGCAGGGGGCACGGGGAGGGAGGAGAGGGGAAGGGAGGGAGGGAGGAGGAGCGCGAGAGGGGGGGGGGAGCCGCTTCCTTGCTGCTGGGTGCCCCCCGCCTCTGTACTGTGCCGAAGGCCGTGTTTTTGGATGCGGGGCCGTTGTGTCAACGCCTTGGGGGCTGGGAGGCCGTCCAGCGGCCGAGAGCGACGAGCGGCATTGACGCTTCCGTCGTGGCAAGAACTCGGCGGCGCCCAGTCAAGAGGAGGGTGAAGACGAGGAGGGAGATGTCATGGCCAGGGCCATGACATCCCCCAGATCGCAACGCCCCCCTTCTTCTTTCAACATGTTCCCAGTCCCTCCTCCCCCGTCGTGGCAGAACTCGGCGGCGCTCCATCAAGAGGAGGGTGAAGACTAGGAGGGTCACCACCCACCAAACCACCCCAACCCAACCCGGAGGTCTCGATTTTGCCCTCCATTTCCAGTTGGGGGGGGGTCGGGGAACATCGAGAAAACAGATATGGAACCCGTACCCCCCCCAACCCGAAATTCGGGTCTTCGGGTTGGGTTGGGGTGGTCTGTAGGTAGTCAGAGGGAGATCTCATGGCCAGGGCCACGAAATCTCCCAGACCGCATCGCCCCCCTTCTTCTCTCGATATGTTCCCATCCCCTCCTCCCCTGCGCTAATGCCTCGGGCCATCATGCGTTCACCGTTAAATCCGTCTCTTCCTGGCTCCTCCTCTTTTGCACGCCTGACAGATGTAACATGTCCCCCCTCCTGCCCCCGCACCGGAGCCTCGAAGCTGACGTCAACCCCTCGTGATTGCTCTTCATGGCCCCCTCCTGGCTGGCACTCCGAAACGCATCCCGCCCTTGCTCCGCATCCGAGCCTCGAAGTTAAAGCCGCCCGCCCTTACTACTCCAGATTTCGTAATAAAGGGAGGGGGGTCTCATTTCGGGGGGGGTCTCTTCCAGGCTATCTTGGAGGGCCTGGGGGGTAAGGGGACGATGTTTTGGAGGGTTCTCCCACGGGGGAGGTCTGAAATGGGTTGTCTTGGAGGGTCCAGACCCCCTCCCTTTTATTACGAAAGCTGGAGTACTCTTGCTAGCACCCCTTCTTTGGCACACCCGAAAAATATCCCTACCTCCCTCCGCCTCCCTGGTGCTCCGAGTGCCGCGGGTGTTCTGGGCGTCCCGGGCTGAGGCCGGAGAGGAGACGGGCCTTCCCTCGTGTCTGGTACGACCACCACCGAACGCGCTCCGCTACTCGCAAAGTGCCTACAGTGAGCGGCTTGAGTAAGGAACACTTACTGTTCAAAAGGGGCTCGGTCGTTCCTTAAGGCCTGCATGCGTTACGTATCGTTCCCTATGCGTTTTTTTTTATCATGTATCGTTCCTTATGTTTTTTCCTTGGAAAACAAGGGCTTTGTTCCTTGTTTATCGTTCCTTAGGTCAGGCCGATGACTGTACTCGCAAACGTCAGACAAAACAATGTCTTCCTATCGGTAATGGGTCGTAAATTCCCCGCCCCGGATCCATGCCATATGCGAGTAGTTACTCTGCGAGTAGTGGAACGCGCTCGTCTAGACCTGATCTTTCCCCCTCCTCTCTCCGAGATCCGACGTGACGGCGGGACCAAACAGTTGCGACACCGCGGGAAGTCAGGACCGCAGCCCTAGACCCAGTCGTTCTGCGGCATGTCTCGAGCCAGATCGACCATCTGCGACGGTCAGGATGGGGCCAGGACGAGAATCCGTTCAGAGCGTTCCAGAACGCTCTCGGAGCGTTCTGGAAACGTTCTGAGAAGGCCGCGGCGCCCAAGACATCCTCCAAAGCTGCCGGATCTCGGAGACTGTCGATCTGTCCTCGCCAGAATTCTTTCATCCTCGGCAGGGCTTCGTATTCGTGGTCCCAGGGCCCGAGATCAGGCGAAAGCGCCCTGGGGGAGCGCGCGGCGGTGGCGCCGCGCGCGCGCGCGCCAGTGGCGTGCCAGAAGAAGAAACTCGACTAGACGCACGAGTTACTCCAGGTTTCGTAATAAAGGGAGGGGGGTCTCATTTCGGGGGGGGCTATTTTCCAAGCTCTCTTGGAGGGCCTGGGGGGGTCTGGGGACGATGTTTTGGAGGGTTCTCCCTGGGGGGGGGGTCTAAAACTTCTCGTCTGGGGGGGTTGAGACCCCCTCCCTTTTCTTACGAAATCTGGAGTAGTCATCACCCCCCTCTTTTTTCCGCCCCGAGGAGGAGGAGGAGGAGGAGGAAGAGGAGGAGAAGGAGGAGGAAGAGGAGAGGAGGAGGAGGAGGAGGAGGAGGAGGGGGAGGAGCCCCTCCCTTTTCTTACGAGATCTGGAGTGATCCTTCGCAGGGGTGGCCTCCGCCGGTGCGGGCCCACAGGGGTCCCCGGCGTCGCCGAGAGGCGGTGCGATGGCAGCGCCTTGCGCGCCCGTGTTTGGCCCCCCCGCGGTTCCTCCGCCTCCTCCCTCCTCCCTCCTCCTCCCTCCTCCTCTCCCCCCCTCCTCCCTCCTCCTCCTCCTCCTCCTCCTCCTGCCTTCCTCTCCTCCTCCTCCTCCTCCTCCTCCTCCTCCTGCCCCTCCTCCTCCTCCTCCTCCCCCTCCTCCTCCTCCTCCTCCGCGGCCCGTGTTGGCCCCCCCGCGGCCCGCAGCCTTCAGGAAGCCGCGCACGAAAGGTCACTCTTGAGATCAGTTTGTGATTGCTCCAGATTTCGTAACAAAGGGAGGGGGGTCTCATTTCGGGGGGGGGGGTCTGTTTTCCAGGCTATCTTGGAGGGCCTGGGGGGGGTCTGGGGACGATGTTTTGGAGGGTTCTCCCACGGGGGAGGTCTGAAATGGGTTGTCTTGGAGGGTCCAGACCCCCTCCCTTTTATCACGAAATCTGGAGTAACATATGAGGCCCCGCCCCCCATGGGGCTCTTGAGTAGACCCCGCGGGGCGCGAAACAATTCTTTTAATCGCCCGCGCCAGGGGGTCGTCACGGGCGCCGTCGAGGGGATCGTGTACCCACTTGCATGGCAGCCTCAATACGATTGGCTTTCGTACAGAAGTGGTTATGGGAATCGTACACCTCAGAGGTGAAGTTCTTCCCCCTCTCAGGCTGATTACTAGCGTGTCGCAGTCGTCGTTGTCGTCGTCGTTCGTCGTCGTCGGCGTCGGCGTCGGCGTTTGCGTCGGCGTCGGCGTCGGCGTCGGCGTCGGCGTCGGTGTCGGCGTCGTCGCCGTCGCCGACTACACCGGGGCGAGCCGGTCCTACGCAACACCCCCTTCTTTCCCCCCAATGGAGCATCCGCAGTATGTCGTCGTCGTCGCCGTCGTCGTCGTCGTCGCGTTGTTGGCGTCGTCGGCATCGGCGTCGGCGTCGTCGTCGTCGTGGTCGTCTTCGTCGTCGCCGTCATCGTCGCCGTCGTCGACTACAGCGGGCCTGCGGAACACCCTCCTCCCGCCCACAATCAGTGCGTCGCCGTCGCCGCGGTCGTCGTCGCGTTGTCGTCGGCGTCGTCGTCGGCGTCGGCGTCGGCGTCGGCGTCGGCGTCGGCGCTGGCGTCGGGCATCGTCTTCGTCGTCGTCATCGCCCTCGTCCTCGTCCTCGTCGTCTTCGTCGTGGTCGTCGTCGTCGTTGTCGCCGATTGCAGCTAGGAGAATTCGCACATCGTCGTCGTCCATCATTGTCGTCGTCGCCGTCCCCGTCGTCGTCGTTGCCGATGATGACGACGACTACGACTACAACGGGCATGCGCAGCACCCCCGCCCCCCCCTCATGGAGCA